TACCCAATATATCCGCCCACCGTGGTATTCAGTAAATGCATCATAACCAAAGGAAAAAGAAATGCAAAGGAAAGTGTTTTGACAATGAACGTATAAATCTTTAGTAATCCAGAAAAGATAGCTGGATCAGCGACCACATATAAGAGATCTGATCAACGTAGTGTTATAGGTGGTGAATTGTGTTCGCTGTGATAAAGCCGTAGCAGTTTTTTTTGGAAATCCCTACTGAGTGGGAATGGGAGTAGCCGATCGAGATCGAGATCGATAAGCGAGAGCCGTACTTCCTGACGAGGGGACTCGGCTCCACGATGGTTCCAGGGTTGCATCGTGGGCTGAAGCAAGTCAGCACTCTCGCGTCAAGAACACGGCTCATAACGGCAGCTCTGGTTCGTGTCAACTCGCGTACGAGCACACGGACTCGGTTCGCCGAATACGCCGTGGTACCGGTCAGAATGGAGGGTGTTGTTCATGGAACAGCAACCGATTAGGGAACAAGAATAGAGAGCATCCGACTGGTGAAGATGCTACCGGCCGTCTTGCGATCGATCCGGTCCAGATTGCCCGGAACTCCTTTGCCGCGCACTCAGCCATTCGGCAGCAGCCTCCTCTCGAGAAGCCGGGGTCTTCACCTCGTCCGGTCGACCAGCGCTTGAGGTGCCATTGAACAGGTTGTTGAGCTCGGCGGCAAGAGCAGAGGCCGTGTATTTGCGAAGTTCCTTCTCCTCTCGCTCGTCCTCCTTCATCAGTCGCTTTTGGTCTGACTTGGATAGGTTTTCCCGTCGCTTTCTCCGGATCTCCAGGATGACCCAATGGACAACCTCCTCCGAGGCGCGGTTCCGAGGCGCTCCATGCTTGATCGGGCTGCGGACGTAGCGGCGTGTCACATCGGTGGCTCCGTCAATCGAAAATGCAATGCAGTACGAGAGTTTGCGACCCCAGCCTGACTCAGTTAGCCTGGTAATACAAACCAACAAGAAAGCGCGACAAACCTTCTGTGTAGAGACGGGGCTGGTCCCATGCGCCCTCACAGGCGTCGACGTGCACCCACCGCCTCTGGTGTTCCGAGTAAACCTCCGTCCACACATAATCCTCCGAATTCCACACCCATCGCACACGGCCACCCAGGGCTCGGCAGAACATGCTGAAGCAGTTGGCCCATTCGCCCACCCGACCCCGACGCGTCTGTAATAGTTGCCAAACATCGGAATAACGGGGGAAACCGTTCGTGGGCGCCGCAGCTGGGTTCCGAGCATCGGTACAGTTCGACTCGTGTGGCGCCGCGAGCCGTTTCGTCGGGCGACGGTGGTGTCATGCCCTGAGCGATCGTCGGTCTGAAGCATCGGGAGCATGGGGGATTGTTGACGAATTGGAAGAAGGAATTCTTAAACCATCTGAAGAATAATCGGTCAGTTTACTGCTAGGGGACCCATTGGAGAATAGTCAACCAACCTTAACAAGGCCCGAATCACGCAATCCTGGTACCCCCATTCGGGAGTCCCACGGACGCTGGCGGCCTGGGCCTGCATGATCTGGCTCTCTTCTTCCGCTTCCGAGTACAGTCGATCCAGGGGGATGTGAGCGAGGGCTTCATCGAGAAGGCCCGGGTTCTCGTATTTGGTGGGTGTGACCGACAGCACATGAAGGAGGTTGCGGAATTTCAACGAGGACGGGTCTTGCGGAGGTGCGGGAACGATGGGAAGTCCGCGTAATGCAGGAGATTGACAGGACGGCGTCGACGGAGACGACGGTTGTTGGCTTGCGGTCGGCGGCGGCGGCGGTGCTCGCGAGGGAGGAGGTGGGAACTGTCCGGGCGACATGGGATAGGCAGGAGACGGGGATTGCGTTCGAGACCGCGACCGGGAGTGTTCCTGAAGACGGTTGAATCGCTTATTGCGCATGAGTTGTTCGAAGGCATGCGTGAGTTCGGAGGCGTCCAGGGTGTCGGAGGTAGGCGCCCGGCGGGCGTGGTGATGGTGTCTGTCGGCCATGGTGATCGTAGGGGGTGAACGACACCAACGCTGGTCGGATACGATCACACTCCAGATTGAATATGGTGACGAGATCGGTGGTTTCGATTACACCCGCCCGATCGAGCTCCCTGATCTTGCAATTCCCAAACCCAGCACAGCCGGTGGTCGAGGAAAGACGAGGGTCGGTCGGATAGTCGTCCGAAGGAAGAATGAATGAATGATGACGGTCGGACGGTCGCACAGTCGACTCAGTGAAAGCGGTAACCACGCTTGGCACTAGTCAACCCGATACTCGGCGGAAACCAGGACAACGGGGCGTGGTCGAGATGGCGAGGGAAGAGACCTGTGACCGTCGAAAGGGCTACAGGGAAGAATATTAATTAAGGTCGATGGACGGAATGTCGAGGAGGGAAGAGGGGAGGGTAGAAAGCGGAGGGAAGATCCCAAGGAAGGGGGTAAAAGGTGAGAAAGAGTAGCGAGGGAAGAGAGAGAGAGCGAGGGTGAGGGTGAGTAAGAAGGATATGAGAGCAGTGCAGCGGTTGTATGGTAAGAATGGGGGTTATGGGGGTCTTTTTTTTTTCTTACCGATTTTTTTGAACTTTATTTTATTTTATTTTATTTAATTCTTTCTTATTTTATTTTTCCCAGTGAGGGCGAAGCGTCGTCAGCCTTGGGGAGGTCGCCCCAATCAGGACCGCCCGCCAGCAGGGCAAGCCGCGTGTGTGCCGCCCCGAAACAGTTAACGGAACCATGGCCAAGACCCTGGCCTCGTCCTCGCACGGCCGAATGTCTACGCATACATCCGCTGCTCATCGTCGGTTTCTTTGTTGGTGTTGGTATACAGGTAGTTCTACTGTAGTTACTTATTATCGTTGATTCTTTATGATCATTATAGTTTAGTTGTTGTTTTCTGTTTTTGCTATTGTTATTATTGTCTTGATCATTATTGTTATTGTTGTTGTTGTTGTTGTTCCTTCTGATCTTCTATACAGATGATATATTGGCCCTACTCCGTATTCAGGAATCGGGTGTTATCCTCCACTGTTGAGGAGTCGGCTGATGAATCGTTCGGAAAAAGCTTGGCTCTGTCCGCGTGGATGTTGGTGTCACTCATGAGTCTTCTTAAGGAGTACAAATATACAGGTACGCAGTATTAGTGTACGCCTCTTCCCACTTATCAAGACGACTACGCAAGCCTGGACACGCCTCCAATGTCCATCATCGTCCACCTTTGCTTCCCAACATCGTCATCATCATCCCCCGTTCCCCTCACCCCATGATAGTGATTCCTCTTATCGTTCTTCATCCCCATATCCATCTACTGCTCTGAGCTTTGTCCCCAACAAACCGCGTAAATCGCTACTACCGCCAGTCAGACTGACGCGGCTCCCTGATCAACACACTAAAATGTCACCATCGTACCATTAGCACGCGCAACCGTGCGCCGTACCACGGTCCAATCAAACACCGTCGTTAGCGGGTTTCCCTCCCGAAGCGTAAACGACGCGACTGATTTTACAGAATCCCGGGGTAGATAATCAGTCGGGAAGGGGGAAAAAGCGATCGTCCTGAATCAACCGAGTTTGGCAACCAGAGAATAGGAGAGACTACCCAAGAGGGAAATTCTGAGAGCGCGGCTGCACCCGTAGCCTTACGAATATTTTCCCTAATGCCCCAGCGTACCAGAGGAACTGGGCAATAATCGAGTTAATTATATGGGCCGCCAAAAACTTATCATCAGCTGACGTATCGCCGGTGGACATGCAATCCTTTCTAGGCAGATGATCACGGTGCCTGATATTTTCCTACGGTGTACAATCCTTACGCAGGTACCTACGCATATCTGAAACTAGCCTGAAGACTCTGAAGACTCTTTAAGCTACGGGAGCAAAGGCTTCATCGTCTAATTCACTGTACACAGGAGAAAGGAAGACCCTGAAAGAGTGAGACAGTCAGATGGTCGTGCTGATCGCGGTGATCTTGATTAGCTGCAAAACTTTTCCCCCGACAGGGTTGGCTCGTTCCCTTCAAATCGGACCATGATTGTCGTCGGGCCTAGTAAGGGCCGTGTCCATCGTCGGCTTTGGAGTTGATGGGGAGCCATCCTGCAATAATACGGATATACGTACGGGCTGCGCCTTATGCACACATCCGGGTCTGTATATATACCTAGTAAGAGCCGGATCCTGTGTGTCGAAGGGTGGGCAAGAGCTGCGGTTAGCTCCAGAACATACACGCGGCATCTGCACTCTGATGAATCCATCCCCACCTGATTGACAGTTGGTGATGTCCACCTCCGCCCATGATTACGATAGCATGCCCGCGGCCCATTGCCACCGACATCACCGAGTCTGTTCTCAAGAACTGTGGTGCCGAGGACATTGCAGGGTCTTGAATGCTTGAATCACTTTCGATATGCTGGAGAGACCAAGAATAAAAAACACCCTCTCGCCGGGGACGAGCTCACCTCTGGAAGAGCGGACGCCGTCTGAAGCTAAAGGGCCCGGCGTTACAGGATTACGCATCCTTCCAAGATAGGCCGGGTGGGTGGCGGAGACGCGCAAGCGTCCGTCTTGGCAGTGTACAAGATCTGGCTAGAGCTTACTTCCAGGACCCATGGCGCTAGACCCGTTTTGGGCGGAGAACCAGCCCTGACAAGAAAAGGTCGAGGAGCCCTTACCCGAGCCCTAGAGATGACCCTTCCCTATCCAGGGGGCTTGGCGTGGATGCCTCATCCGCTCTGGGAAGGGTAAAGCTCTGGGTAGTTATTCAGGGTCCAGTCGTTTCCGTCAGGACTTGTCGTTAGCATCTGGTGAACACCATCACTGTTTCCTAGTTATCTCTAAGAGCTAGGTGGATTCTATAGTAGATTATAGTACATAGATTACTGCTAGAAATTCCCAGATCATGGCAATGTCACCAGATTAATTTCAGCTTGGCTGTGCTGGTCGATGGCCAAGCCACACTTGGACCCTTGGGGCGGTGTGGGAGGTGAGGCTCCGCATTCACCTCGGAAGGGGACATTCCCAGCCTTCCGAGCCGAACAAAGTCCTGCTCATCCAGGTTGGTGGTTCCATGCCAGATGTGGATCCCCCATACAATCCATCCATCCTGTTCACTAGCCTTTACCCTTGGTCTGGACGCATCCTGACGAAACGATTGCAAATCGGTCGCTCCCTAGCAGGATCTCAACACGCCGAGTGAGTGCCATTCCTGTATGTTTGACATGCATGATATAATCGTGATGGGAGGGGTTGATCAAGGAGAGGGGTCCCCATGATCGTCATGTTGGGATTATGTTATGCTCACGTCATGGACAGCAATTGACTTTGATATCGCTCGCTTCTGCAACATGCATACCTCTTCCCAGACAGTTATGTCTCACTGCAACTAGCTGGACCCTACTGTATCCATCGTTTCCGTGGCCGAATTTATTATGTGACTGCTTATCTGATTTCGCGGACGCCAATACATGTAGTTCACAACAATAAGTATCCCATAACACAATATCGATCGGATACTGTTGTTCAGCTGGGATCATCTGTAGCAAGAGGTTGAATCGCACGACCCCCTACCCTTACATCGTGTCGTTGATGCTGTGTAATGCCCACAAGTATAATTCAACATGACGACGATCTCTGGTCTCCTGCAATGACTACTCCGTACAGCCCAAGAACAAAACAGCAAAACCAGGGAAATCCCCCATGTTGAAGGGTCCCTCCCCAATATGCCACGGCGCTAAAGGGTCTGGACACATCGTCGTCACCGGTCCGGGCATGCATGGCCCGTTCCAGCCAGTCTGGAAACAGACGGATGAAACGCCACGAGACCCTTCGAATACCAATCATCAACGGGTATGCCGCGGTACGACCCTGGGTGGTGACCCTGCGGAATGCCAATGGCCTACCTTGCCTAATCGGGTCGATCCGCCAGGATCTGTCAGCCGGCTGACTAACTCCGATCTGATCGACCAATCGTTAGTACTGGGATCCGTAGAGTTCTGGATAGGTAGATCCATCCCGGTTCCTAGATATAGACTTGCAATTGACCGCATTTGAGATATGTAAGTTAGACTCGATTAAACTATTAGCTATTCACAATCTGAAGATCATGGCAGAATGGCAGTAGATCTGTCAGCTCTGTCGCTCAACGCAGATACCGTACACTCATCAAACCTAGATCATTATGGTATGTTGCCTCATATACCAGGCCGCGAAATAATGCAGAGAACTCGCTATGCTAGAAACACTGACAACGAAGAAACAAAAGGTGACTGTCATGAGATCGTCTGCTTCAATTCAGACACGAATGACTTGCCCCAGAACGCGCTGTATCCAGTTAGCCATGAAATTCACCCTTACGTCTCTCTTCCTCAACATACCTGGTGTACTTGGAGATGTACTTGTAGAGCTTCTCAAAGTTCATTGTTCGACGTTCGTCGCTCATCGAAACCGCGTCGTGGTACGCGCGCGCAAGCTCTTCCGTGTTCCACGGGTTGACAACGATACTCCCGTTGAGGCTTTGGGCGGCACCCGCGAACTCGGACAGGATCAGTGTGCCCTTGCGCTTCATCTGCGTGGCGATGTATTCGAACGACACGAGGTTCATTCCGTCCCGCGTGGACGAGACCACGCAGGCATCCGATGCCGCGTACAAAGCGATCAGCTCGTCGAAGCTTACGGACTTGTGCATGAAATGGATGGGCATGTAATCCACCGTTCCTGTCGGTTGCGGTCAGCACGACACTCCTGCTGTCAGGCACTACCCGTTGAACTGAGACTTACCAAACTTCCCGTTGATTCTCCCCACGAGCTCGTTCACGACCGCCCGCAGGTTCTGATACTCCTCCACATCCTGTCGGCTCGGCACCGCGACCTGGACCAGAACCACCTTTCCGACCCACTCCGGGTGCTTGGAGAAGAAGACTTCCAGGGCGTGTAGCTTCTGCGGAATGCCCTTGATGTAGTCCAGACGATCCACACTAACCATCAGCTTGGTGCCCTGGAATTTGTTCTCCAGCGACGAGATGCGGTGCTGCACTTTGGGAGATTTGAGCCCTTCCGTGAATTTCTCAGGGTCGATTCCAATGGGAAAGGCGGCCACCGACACGGACCGGCCTTCGAACTTGACGCTACTCGGCGTTGTGACGAGCCCACTATTCACGAAGTTAGATGGTACACGGACGGGGGACACGGCGAAACACATACAGGATATGTGCGCAGCTGCTCAAGAAATGACGCGCATAGTCATACGTGTGGAACCCGATCAGATCGCAGTTCAGGACGCCGCGCAGGAGCTGGCCTCTGACGGGGAGAATCCGGTAGATCTCACTGCTGGGGAACGGGGTGTGCAGGAAGAAGCCCACGCGGATGTTGGACTTCCCCAGGAGACGGAACTGTTCGCGAAGCATTTCGGGGAGCAACATGAGGTGGTAATCGTGCACCCAGACGAGATCGCCGTCGTGGGCCTCGCGTGCGATGGTCTTTGCGAACAACAGATTAGCCTCGCGGTAGGCATCCCAGGCTCCTTCATCAAACATGATTTCACCCGGGTGATAATGCAGAAGAGGCCAGAGGATGGAGTCTACTCATGGCATTAGTGGTTGGGTGTGGATTCATGTAAAAGAGGGCGGAGGGTGTCGTACTAGAGAATCCATTGTAATGGCGGTCAGCGAGGAAATCATCCATAAACACCGGAGTCGCATTGAATTCATCTTTCAATCGCTGTTTGACCGAGGGAACTTCATCTTCTGGCACTTCTAGCCCAGGCCAACCGTACCACTGGAAGGTGGTGGTTTTGGAGAGGCCACTCAGCCCGGTGACGAGACCGCCTGAAGACATGGAGAACTCATATTTACCGCCATCAGAGCGACGGATGGTGATGGGAAGCCGGTTTGAAACGATCAGCAGGCGAGATTCGCCTGGCGGGGAAGGTTCAATGGATGGCATCGGAGAAGCCTGACTCTGAGCGTATGGGAGTGAAGAAGAACAATGTACGACAATGTACGATAGAGTGTAAAGGCAGGATGGGAAGAAGACAAGACAAGGAAGGTCGTCAAATGGCCGAATGGAGCGATAAGAGACAAGCGGACAGAGTCCGGAATGTGACTTAATGATAGCGGACGACGGTGGAGAACCTCAGGCACTCCACTGCACCGATCAGGCAGTCCATGAGTTTCTTGTATAGCCCAACCTTTCCCTGCTTTTCTTCCGCCTTCTCTTCCTCTCCCACGCCTTCGCTCTCCTTTCTACGTCACTGGTCCTGGTTCCTCGTCTGCTCTCATGCCCACCCGGGTTGATTCCATCGGATTCCGTCCGATATCCCAATGTCCTGTCGAATAGAATGGACACAAAACACCACTGGGGTGGGCACGCACTTGGATGCGGATCAAGCCGGGACCCAACGTCACCACTACGGAGTACTTTATTTGAGTTGCAAAATAGATCAACAACACTGGCAGATAAGTGAGTCCCTCTGTTGATCTAGTATCTGCTCTGTTGTTCTACGATGGTGGCGTATCTCCCAACGTGAACCAAGTCCAATGACCTCAATTCCTTCAGATTCCATCTCACCCCTCCCTTCCCTGCCTGCGCCCAATGCTGGATGACTTCTTGGATGCCCAGAAGGATGCCGAAATGGCGCATCCCTCCTGTTTCCTGTTCTTCTCCTTCCCCGCGAAAAGCCCAGAAGGTTCTTTTCCTCTCGCTATCATATGTTTCAATATAAGCTCGCAGGTTTCCGCGGTCCAATGATCCATGTCACTCTCCCGTGGTTCGTTTGCATTCTATCTACTGAACAGCATGCCTGGCTGCCTGCCGGAACTTTCAGGATCCTACTCTGCTTTATCCGACAGGACTTAATATCTCGTTGTCAGGCTGCCCTCCTCTTCCATCGGCAACCAGCAAAGTCTCCCTTGGTCCGAGTTACACAGACAGGCCCATCGATCACCCCATCGCAATTACAACAGGCTACCTCTACTTCTGCCATCTCATCGCATGTCATGTATCTTCGTCTTTGATTCATAATCTACCATTCAACTCCTTGGCCTTGACTTCACATCACACATCGTCTCTCACAACACCCCATCTACCCAATGACGGTCTTCGTGGTCTCGCTGTATGTTCCGCTTTTCCCAGTACCTCATCCGACAGCCGCTGACCCTCCCTCATAGTTTCCTTCCCTATACCATTGACTTCCAAGCTACTGAGCTGAGGCATGCTCGGCGCAAGTCATCCACCAGCCAGTCCGTCGACAGTGACCGGGTTGTCGGTAGACTGGCAGAGTCACGTCGGAGAGGTCATAAGAAAAGTCTGAGCCTCTCTCTCACACCCGGTGCGACGACCGAGGATGAGAGGATTTTCAAATCCTACGTCTCGCACGCTGCGGGCGAGCTTGCCACCGCCGACGAACCCAATGGACCGGGTCCCAGTGATCCTCGCCCGGTTTCGTGGGGACGCAGTCGCAAGTTCAATCAGCCCCGTTCTAAAGCGACCATTCCCCCGGGATCGTCGATTCTCAGTCGGCCAGAACCCAGCGATGACCTGGTCCTGACAATGCCCCCATACGTGGAGAATGCGCTGGTAACCCCAGACTCCGAAGAGGACCATGGAAGCCCACGCGCCTTACTCTCCGACGACTGGGTCGTGAAAGCAGCAGAACAAGGCAACGGAGGTCTGCGCAATGCAGTCAACGCAGCTGAAGAGATCGGATTGCTCCCGGACAAGATGTGGGTGGGTACCTTGGGCATGCCTACCGACTCGCTCAAGGATGCGACGCGTGCTAGCATTGCGGAGACTCTCGAGGATGAGTTTGAGTCGCTTACTGTTTTTGTCGGCGATGATGAATTCGAAGGTCACTACTCACACTTCTGTCGTGCGGTCCTGTGGCCGGCCTTCCACTATCAGATGCAAGAGAGCCCCAGACATACAGAATATGACGACTACTCGTGGAAGCAGTATGTCAAAGTCAACGAGGCGTTTGCAAACACCATAGCTGCCAACTGGCGCCCCGGTGACAGTATCTGGATCCACGACTACCCATCTTCTGCTTCTACCGTCTATGCTCCGCGAACGAATGCCCACAAGCAGAGATCGGCTTCTGTATGCATGCTGCGTTCCAGTCCTCGAAAGTGTTCCGGTGTCTGAACCCCCAGAAACGACCTACTTAACGGTCTTTCTGGGTGCAGATCTCATTGGGTTCCAGACCCGAGGAGTACTGCTACCACTTCCTCCAGTCATGCAGTCGACTTCTCAAATTAGAGGTGTCCGTCGATGGCGTCCGACTGGCACGCCGTTTTATTCATGTGAAGAACCAGCCCATGGGAATTGATACCAGAGCCTTGGATGTGCTGCGCGAGGCAACCGAGGTCAAGGATTGGATAGCGAACATTGGCTCTCGGTACAAGGGCAAGCATCTCATAGTCGCGCGTGATCGACTGGACGCACCCGGTGGTATCAAGCATAAGCTCTTGGCTTATGAGATGTTCCTGAAGAAGTATCCAAAGTGGAGAGACAATGTAAGTCCAACACCCTTTCCCAAGATAGGACACCCGCGATGCTGACATGACTAGGTCGTTCTCATCCAAGTCGCCTCTACGTCAGAGCTACCGGAACTCGAAGCCGAAGTCTCGAAGATTGCCATGAGAATCAACTCTGCCTATTCGACGCTTACCCACCAGCCGCTAGTCTTCCTTCGACAGGACATCAGCTACTCTCAGTTCTTGGCGCTACTCAGCATGGCCGAAATCTTCATGGTGACCAGCCTGAGAGAGGGCATGAATCTGACCTGCCACGATTACCTCCACTGCCAAGATGGCAAACTGACATCCCAGCGCCATGGCTCCCTTATTCTTAGCGAGTTCACCGGAAGCGCGTCTATCTTCCATGGTCACGAGCTCCTGGTCAATCCATGGGATTTCAAGGAGGTCGCCGAGGCCATAAATGACGCCTTG